GTCGAGAAGTCGTGCTCCATTGTGGGGATCCGACATGAGTTGACGCGTTGCGGGAAGTCCGAAACGTCTGTGATGCTGGAACACAACCCCTGTCAGCAGCACAATGCTGCTGTGACTGGATCTCCGGGATGACTGGTGAGAATGATAAAGAAGAATATATTCGCTATGCTAACAAGGTTCGCTTAAAGAGATCTTAAAACTCCACATGCGACTCTGATCCCGGTCATACGACAGCCTCCTTAACGCGTGTAAACCGTGCCCGTTGTCCAGGCCCACCACATCTGGATTGCCGACGCGAGGGGCTACGAGTTCCCACTGCGCCCCCATTTGTCCCGTCAGCCCCGTGCCCATGAACGCGAACAGCGCCGATTTGGTCATGCTCGCCGACGTGCTATGCGCCATGACGGCCACGATCTCCTTGCCGTCGCTCGCGAACCCCGGACCGGCGGCACCAGACCGGTTCTCGGGCCCCCACAGGCGGACGAGCTTCCAGCCGGAGGAAAAGACGCTCCCGCCCGTGAGGTGCTTGACCTCGTCGCCGAAGGTAGAGCGCCACTCAAAGGCCTCCTCTTGCGGGGGGTCACCCTTGCGGCTTGGCGGCGGCGGCACGGCGAGGGTGAAGGAGAGAACGATGGTCTTGAGGGAGTACTCGTACTTGAGGTTGATGACGAGGGGCGCGGCGCCGGGGTTGGTGGCGGCACCGGGCGGCAAGGTAATGGTGCTTCGCTGACTCATGGTGTAGTTGAGGGGGCTCGTCTCGGCGAGGACGGAGTCCGTCTTTTCGGGGCCGTCATAGATGGTGAGGAGCGGCTTCTTCATGCCCATGACGGCCCAAGAAGTCGAGACGGCGAAGAGCTTTTCTTCGCCTGAGGTGCCCAGGTGGAAAGTGCGCGCCGACTTCCAGCTCAGGTACACGTTGAGGCGAGGGGGGAACTTCAGGGTCGCGGGTACGATTGTTGAGTCACCAGGATATGTCGGTCGCTCGTAGGAAGGAGCATCTTGGGCTGCAGGGGGGCCGTACCCATGGCTCTTATCCGCGTCTGAGTATGATGGCGGAAGATTGCTAGAGCTGGCTTCATCGTTGTCGTCGTCATGACGTCGGAAAAGCGATTTGAGCCCCATGATGATGCTGTTTAGAGGCGCTTCGCGTGGGCGATTGATGGTAGGCCAAGTTCGCGATTGTTCAAGATTGCTGCTAGGGGGTTCTGAGGATTAAGGCCAAGAAGGGGGAATGCCTACATATTTATCTCAGTTAATTGCGCCCTTGCATCTTGCACTGACGATCATCTCAGCTCAGCTCGGACTGCTCTGTCGTGGGGATGAGACAGTGAGCGGCTGGCTGGTGGGAGTGAGATCATACCTGTGGCTGTGTGGTGCACACTCACCACTAACCAGGGTGCTCTAAGGCGATACGCGTATAGAAGGTGTGGCAGTACAAGGACCCTGTCTACGGGGCTGAAGTCAATTTGCTCGCGAGCCGCGGGACCTGACATGCGTCATGCAGCAGTAAGCAGCATGGCCAGGTTCGAAATGACAGTTGGGGCTGAAGCTGACCTTGCGTGGACTCAATGTGACTCTCGCGTCAGTATTCCCGATAAAGCTTTGAGATGATGGAGTACAGGCACCTCAAGCCTTGGACAACGTCCGGTGTTGGGCACTGAGGGTACCTTCACCCCACGCTGTGAAATGGCGATCCGCCCAAGTCCGGCAGGTTGACGACAGAATCGCAGTGAATAGCATCGGTTTCGTGTCTGTAGGGAGCAGGAGCGCTTCGTCTTTCTCATAATTCTTGAGTAGAAGAATGTTTACGAAATCTGGCTCCGAGGAAATGAGCAATAGACTGAAAGTTGTAGTATTTGTGTGATGGCAGCGACAGCGGGAGTGATCAGCGTGAAAGGTTTGATACTCCTCCTCCAGCAAATCCGTGATCGCAAAAGCCACACTGTTAGCGACGTGGTCCGGGATAATGAGAGCATAGACTTTCCGTGGCGCAACCAAAGGATACTTTGAGAACAGCACGAGGTGGTACTTCTCTTTAATAGACATATCTCATTAAGTTTGTTATATGTGATCATCATCTATGAACAGCCCTGATCGTCATCCTTCCAGCTTAGACAACGTTCTCCTTGCCGTGAGCGCCGCACGAGTGGTGGTGGTCGGCCTCCTCGGCAATGGCGGCCCAGCGCTGGAACTCCTGGCGCATGGCAACGACGCCGCGCTTGGCAGACGAAGTCTTGGAGCGGCGGGGCAGGTCCTTGAGGTCGCTATTGGCGAGGATGGCGGCGGCGCGAGCGGCGGCCTTGGCGTTGACCGTGATTGCCTCCCAGTTGATGTTGTCAATGTTGTCACAGGCAAGGTGGTAGCAAGGATCGTAGGGGGGAGTGCCGGTGAACAGACCAGACGAGGGAACGCCAATGTTGACGAAGCCCACGTAGTCAGAACCGGTACCGAAGGGAGCGTACTCGGCAGGGAACCCCTCCTTGGTCAGGTAATCGTAGAGGATGTCGGCGCCGAAGGCGTCGCCGGCGTTGTCACCGCGGTAGACGGCGAACATGGGGTTGATGAAACCAATCATGTCGTAGTTGAAGTAGAAGCGGATCTTATCGGCATCCTCCTCAGACAGAGTGCGAGTGTAGTAGAGGGAGCCGATGAGGCCGACCTCCTCAGCGCCCCACCAGATGAAGCGGACCTTGTTCTTGAGGCCCTTGTACTTCTTGAAGGAGCTGATGATCTCGAGGATGGCGCTGGTGCCAGAGCCGTCATCGTTGACACCAGGGCCGGCGGGGACAGAGTCCAAGTGAGCACCGAGGACAATGACGTTGTTGGGGTCGCCCTCCTTGGTCTCGGCAATGACGTTCCAGGTCTCACGCTCCTCGTAGACGGCATCGACGAACAGCTTGACAGAGAGAGTCTCGCCAGCGGCGAGGCGGGCCTTCCAGGCCTGACCGACCTCAAGAGGGATGGTGCCAACAGGAGGGATGAGACCAATGTTCTCGAAGCCGAGAGTGGCGCCAGTGATGGCATTACCGGGCTGGTTGTGGTAGAGGATGACACCAACGGCACCCTTGGAAGCAGCAAGCTTCAGCTTCTCGGAGATGGCACAAGCACCTCGCTTGACGAGAGCGAACTTTCCGGTGGCGTCGATGCCCTCCCACTGGTCAGCGAAGCAGCCAGAACCGCGGACGTCATCAACAGGGGTGTCAATGAGGTCGGCGGTGATACCCTCAGCAGGGGTAGGGGGGTTGTAGGTCAGAGCAATGACGACAACGTCCTCGCCATCAGGACCAGTGACAGAAATGTCGTTGAGCTGGACGAAGGTGTGGTTGAAGTACTGGATCCTCGTGTCGACAGTGGTGGCGAAACGAGTCTGAACTCGCTCCAGGATGAAGTCAGAGGAGGCCTTGTAGCCAGGGTAGCCGTAGGCACGGTTGCCGCCGTTGTCACGGGCAATCTTGTTGAGGTTCCAGAAGATTACACTGAATTCCTGGGAAAGCCGTCAGTTCCGAGGGTAGTCGAAGTGAGGAATGTGTCAGACCATTGACTCACTTCTGAGGTCTCAATGGTCAGCCACGGCCTTCTCAGGCGTGAGCGGGTTAGAGGCAAAAGCTGCCAATGGCGAAAAGGCCAGCGGGCGAGGGCAGCGACGGGACTTCATGATGGAAGCTTGATGGGTACGCAATCGATTACTGCAAACAGACTCCTAAAGAACGAGAAGATCCAGTTCGGAATGGCGGGCGCAACGGGTCCCATATATACTTGGACCGAAATCGTCGACACGGCTCATACCTCGTGCCGTTGCTACGCGACACCCATGCCATGTGCTACCGAGCCTGGCGTTAGTTCTTTGGCCAAGAAATGGCGCGATAAGAAGGGCAACTGATCCAAGGCCTTGATCAGAAAGACTCTTTGTAGGCAGGCCTGGCTGAGAGTGGCCAAGATGTTCGGCGGCCGGCCGCATCTGTGGGGTGGCGGAGGGGTTGGAGAAGCAGAAGGTTGCTGGGATGGTGATGGACCACACCGGCCGGTGATGCTACCCTCTGGCAGGCAGGTGGCGATGGGATGGCAACGTAATAGGGAACCAGCCGAGGGCGTGGCAAGGGACCTTGGGTCTTGGCGAGCAAGTATCCATGGTGTCGAAGGCAAGGTGGGTTGCTTCCATGAAGACCAGGTATCGCGTTATTGGCAGCGATGAAGAGGCAATGCGAAGTCGCGAAGAGGTGGAGATGGAGTCAGGCAGGAAATGGCAGGAGATGTAAAGAAGCTCCTGCCCTGTCCCCGGTCGCGCAAGTCAAACCCCGCCAGCGCGCTTGGCCCGATTGGCTAGCTCACGATCACTGCCATATACGGAAGGTGCCCTGATTTTTACTGAGGGGGTTCCCTGCCACTACAAGCGGGCAGGTGCGCTATGGGACGGGCAATTGCGATGGAGCCGCTGCGGGGACAGGCAACTGCTTGCACAGCAGCTTTGCTATCCACCTACAGTAGTTACTTCAGGGACCATACCCTCACTTCCAGTGTTATGAGGATTTTACTCCTGTTGGAGATAGCCTCACGGACGCCTCGGCCTACCAAAATGTAGGTATGTCAGTGGACATGCGACCGGACAGATATCTTGTTGGTTCAACAGGGAAAACAAAGCTAACTACTGCGACATTGCAGAATAGACCTGGCTCTACTCGGTGCCCAGCAAGAGGCCCCATTACTAACCTTCGCCCCTCCGGCTCGGCCGACAATCTGCATCTCAACATCCCAATCAGGCAGCTGGTCAACCTCGCACGCTGATTGCACAATTGGATACGAACAGCAAGGGTGAAGGGCAGCCGCTGCATCGGTGGCGTGTTTCTCGCCGGGCTTTTCGCATTGATGCATGCGATGAATCAGCATGGCATTTCTCGACATGTCACGAAACGCAGCTCAACGGTTTTGCAAGTCACTCGAGAGAGGCAAGGCAGTTGGCTAATTGCTGTCTGGCGCATCTTATGCTCGCACAAATCTCCCCTTTGGGTTCAGCTTGCAAATTTGATCTAGTGTGGCCAACCTCCTGGCGTGTGTCTCGTTATTTGCCATACCTTAACACTGGTCGGGACTTGGCCCTGCAAATAGCCCTTGGCGTCTTTCAAACGTATATCAATACTCAGTGGTCATCATCATGTACTCTGGAGCCTATGATGCTGCTCCACGTCACGGTTGTAGATTTTGATGAGAGCATTGCTTTTGTGGTGTCAGTCGTGTAGAATTTGTACGGCTTCGAGACTAGGTAGGTGACATCTACTTGCCATGGTTCTCTCAGCAGGGGATGCATCATATGATATGACCAGGCTCAACATATAAAGCAGCAGGTCTAAGATGAGTTTGATACCGAAGGATATGGACAATTGCAGACCCATGCTGGGAGAGCCGCAATACAAGGGTATTCCGCCATTCACACCACTGACGTTGGTGCATCCTGTTTGGCGATGGCCTACCCCGGATCCGGGGCCTTGGTAATGGATCTTAGCCCGCCCACGTAGGATACTACAACATCACTGCGTGCTTTAGGGCTGAGATCGGCGGTTCCTGCATTCTGTATCCATGGTCCCTCGTGGCTGTCGTATCGGTCCATGCGTCAGGTAAAGATTTGGTTGGACCATCACGGTTCTCAGTTCTCAGTGCATGTCGGCCTGGCATTCTGACACTGCCGGGCCTTGCCAAAATGGATCTACCCGGCTTTAGCAACCCTTGTGGACCCTGATGGTTATCATAATGTCCAATACCACGTTTACGAAACGGCCAAACATAGCACTGAGGCAGAGTCAAAACGCAAGGCTAATAGAAATTCTCACTGCTACTTTTATGCAGACATACTCATGTCTATTCAACGTTCATCGAAGGGCTCTGGTACTTCAATCGACAGGATCTGTTTGGACGGCATGATCTCCGTCCATACTATAGAAACTCGTGCAATGAATAGCCCCGTAAGCCTTGGAGTGGCATCACAAACTGCTTTACGGCTTCTAAGATCGTCCGCAACAATCTCGTGCTCGTATCGTCTTCGCATGCCGAGGGTGCTTCTCAAAAGAAGCCTTCGCATTCCTGACTGAATCCATCAGGAATTCTATCAACCCTTATCCAATTGGCGTCTTATTCGACTTTTGGTCAACCACTATCATGGTAGTACCTCTCAGCTGTGCGATATGCCAACGCTCACGAGGGTGTTATGTTGATCCGTATATGCCCCTCAGTTATAGGAAATATCGAATCGGTGGTATATGTTTGGCTGCGGCTGTTCCGAAGACCCTTGACCGAGTCGAGCACTTCTTCAAGAATAATCAATTACGATCACCAGGAAATAGTCATGGTAAACGAAACGACAGATTGCTCATTTTCAAGGATATCAATGTACTATCAAGAGCCTTGAGAAATAAGCTACAGTCATCAAGGGTTAGACTTGTTGTCAGTTTGTTTGGGGTCAGAAGCGTGGAGCAATTATGGAATGGCTGAAGGGCACCATTCGTTCGACCAGCACAACATTCATGACTACTTGCGAGGAATGCCTACTGTGAGCGCTTTCACTTAAAGGAATCACGTCGACCCCACCAAAATTCTAGGGTTTCACTTTGATCCGCTCCAGTATTGCTTTGAGCATTCGCTGCTTGATGCAAACTATTTTCCATCTCATGATATATCATATCTGACTCAGCCAAGCTCAGGGATCTGACCATGTCCTGTGGCCAGAGCAGTCCTCCTTGATGTGCTCTGCTCATCGAAATATGGCACCTCTCCAAGTCCGACAGCGCGGTTGCCGAAC